GTACTGATTTCTTACTATGGTGGTTTAGTAATCATCTGTAAGTTTGTTGCGACAGCCATCGTTAAACTATTACGATATCGATCAGTCCGAGTTACGCCGACGACAAGCTGATCTAACAATAGACATTTTAACCTCTGCTTTATCTAATCTGTGTGCTGGTGTTGGTGCAGAACTATACATATGACTTGAAAAAGACGAAATGATTTGACTGTCTTGAGGATGCGTGTAGATGAAGAAGGATTTGCTTAGTATTAACGTCAGCATATAACATTCTATGACTCTAACTCTTGACATAACCGGCATAAAGCCAATATATTTTCTGTATCAAATAAACACTCAGTACTTTCGATAAAGAGTCTAGTTATTCAGTTTGACAAAGATATACACTGTCAAACTCATACTATTTTTGGAGCTTCTGATAGTAACAGTTCCGATTTTATTTAGTCTTATTTCATATTCTAGCATGAGGAACTTACAACAACGAATATTAAACAATATCTAACTATAGTGTGGTTGGTTTTTTACAATTGATAAGTTTGATCTATTTTTATTTGAAATAATTATTTAACACAACTGAAATATGTGTCTATTAACAAAAAGAATACTACTACAGATACAGACAGAGAGATGAAATAGCTAAAACATAGAGTTTCTATCTTATAATTCCTATGTTAAGTTTGTTGATATTTAAGTATTCTTACAGTTACATAATGGCAATTATCAACAGAACATAATCGTTTGTCATATTTTGTTATAAAGATATGAATCGAGAAGTACTAGCTTCTAGTATTCTATGAAAGTCGGTAAAATTTAGTTCCAAAACAAGAGCTCGAAATGTCGCAGTGAAAAATCTATAGTATTGATCGATATTCGTTTCTAATATCCGACTAATTTTTCGTGAGTATAAACAAGTTCAACAAATCCTGTCAAAACAGATTTGTAGGAATGACCTTCTCAGAGTAACTGAATATGGATGTCAGAAATAACAATTAGCACACACGAAATCGTATCACTTCAATATCTTACAACTAGTATTTATCAAACTCTTTTAAATAGCCTAAAGAATCTAACTGAAAATAAATAAATGTTAGCAAAATTGATATTCTAATAATCAATGTATTATGACATAACAAGTCGTTTGTTTTTGTATTTCATATTAAAATAAATCAAGAAAATGAATAATCTAACTTTTGTTATAAATAAGTCATATCTTATTCGATAAACAACTTATTTAAAATTGATTTTATTTGAATTAAAGAGAGAAAAATATAACCGCACAAAATTAAATGTTATCATTAATGAATGTATACAGGAAAATTGAATTATCATTGGATTTATTTTTTCGGTGCAATTAATCCTTCCAATTGTGCCTAAAGAAAAATAAAATTTAAATAGAAAACACCAAGTCATAATCAAAATTAAACCTTAAGTTGTTGATTTGTTTTTTTCAAAAAATTAATTTCTTCCATATGTTTTCTTTCTTCAACTTGTCGTTGTTCATTTAATTTCTTTTCAGCTGCTTCAGCATTCGCTTTGGTTTCTTTTAATTGTCGTTCAAGATCACGTTTATCTTCTTCAAGTTGTACTAACTTCAAACAATAATAATAATAATAATAATTAGAAAAAGAAAATTTTCGATTACAAACTTTTCGTTCTAATTCCGATTTGCCTTGTTCAGCCATTAATGCTTTACGCATACCAAATGCTACACTACTTTCATAAAGTGTTTGATATGCACGTAATGTCATTTGTAATTCATCACGTACACGAAGAAGAAGTAGACCACGTTCAGCACAATTAATAGCAACTTGACGAATAAGTTCATCTATAGAAAATACAGTTAAACAAAAATGAAAAATAAAGCAAAAATATTTTATTTACCAAAACATTGTGAAAAAAGTTCACGTCGTACTGGACATATACCAGTTTCACGAGCTTGTCGTTGTTGTAAACGCATATCTAATTGTTCTTGTAAATTAATAACATCAAGCCGTGTTGATGGTGTTGATGATATACGTTGACAATAGAGTAAATCAGGATTATTTGGATCTTTTGTAATTCTATATTTAATAAAAAAAAATAAAATAATATTTTTAAAAAAAAATGAATTAAATTCTTATACTTCGGTGGAAGAATTTTATCAAGTATTTCTTCTAATGATAAATCTTTCATTGTTGCTTGTTTTTTACCTAATCGTGGTGAATTCGAAGAACCACCAGCACCAGTAACATCCATCATTTGTTGATCTAATCCTGTTGTTTGTTTACTAGTACCCATTCCTTTACGTTCTTTATCATTTTGTGCTGTTATCAATGTTGGATTATCAAAACGAACCAGCGAACCAGATGGTGGAATTATCGACATTATTTATTTTTATCAAAATATAAATTGATACAATGACCTAAAAAGAATTTTAACATATAGAATATTCATTATTCAACGAAAAAAACTAATTTCTTAATTAACTATAACCATAAACAAGATATTACCTTAGGATACGTTATTGAATAAATAGAAATTTGTTTCTAAATAACGTTGCTAAAAGTAAACGCCATTGATATTTATCTTACAAGCGGGGTTACTTAGTAACTTAATATTTCACTAAATAGTCTTTATTTATTTTAATAATATTTAATCAATAAATATGAATTGAAAATCGAAATAATTTTCTAAATTATTATATTTTATTAGTTGAATGTATTTTCATTGGTTATTGTTTTAACCAATGATTGATGATAGAAAAAAAAGTTGTTCAACATTGCAATTTTTTTTTGCTTTCCTTCTTTCATTCTTACTCAACAAATAAAGAAAAAATATATATATATAATATAATCTGACACATATATTACCTACCTTTCCACGTCGACATCTTCTGTCCACGTCACCACTGCAAGTCGGCTCGGCTACATATTCGTTCGATTAAAAATTGATTTTAATCATTAGTGATGGGTCAAATTTTCGATCGACAAGATGCCGAGCCGACATTTCATACTAAAAATCAAAGTATAGATTTTATTCGACGATAAAACTCTTCATATATTTATATTATTTTAGTTACAAAAATGTCCGATATATCACAATTACCACCTGAATTAGCTTTGGCAATTCTTAAGAATTTAAATGCTACTGATTTATGTCTTGCTGCATGTGTTTGGCAATCATTAGCTAATGATGAAATACTTTGGCTTGGGTAAGAAAATAGATTTTTCAAAATTATTCATTTTTATATCTTTCAAGGTTATGTAAATCTAATTGGGCTTATACATCCGTCTATAAACGAGCTCATAGTGAAGGTATTTCATTTCGTAGAATTTATTTACAACTCGATGAAGGAACATTACGATTTAATGCTGGACAAGTACTGAAAAATTCGTTTTTGATTATTATAAAACCTTTTTTTTGTATATAGGGTCTTCAATATTTTATTGAAAATAGATTGCTCGATGATACATGTGAAGAAATATGTAATTTTATACATAATACAAGAAAATTACGAGCAAGTGAAAAACGTAAATTACTACAAACACGGTAGGTCGATGATTTAGTTACATAAGATTTTAAAATTATAGTCTCTAATAACACATAATTCATTTTCTTTCTGTTATCGAGATATCATAAAATAATCTAAAGCATGTGATTTTAATTGTGACGTATTTCTATTATTTTAAAATAGTGCCCTGCGAGCGAAAATGTCAAAAAAAAACAAACATCTGTCTCGAAATATTTCTTTATGCATTTGTATTTCTAGTCGTGACATATTAGAACGTCTTATTGAACTTCAATCATATGAAAATCAATTTTTACCAAATGCACTACGACAGTTTTTTGCTAAACTTGATGCACCAGAAGATCGTAATGAATATTTATCAATTTTAATTGAAAATTTCTCCAAACGTTTTCACGAATGTAATAAAGATCTTGGTTTATCAACTGGTTCGTTAGAATTTTTCTTTAAATAAATAATTCATTTTTTCATTTTTAGAAACTATTTATGTCCTATGTTTTTCATTAATTCTTCTTTCTATCGATCTTACATCACCACACGTTAAAAATAAAATGTCTAAACGTGAATTCATACGTAATACACGTCGTGCCATAATTAATGGAACATTAAGTGATGAATTAGCTGGCCATCTCTATGATAATATTTATTTAATTGGACATGTAGCTCGTTCAACTCCGACTGTAGGTTAAAAAAATGTAGAAATCAAACTTATTTCGATGCACACACATACACATACGTCCCGGTTACATATTTGTACAAACCTATTTTATTTTATTTTTTTGCTGTTTTAAAACAAAAGCTTCTTTTATTTTTTATTTTTTTTTCCGTTTCTTTTGTATTCGATGTTTATCCATCAATTTGTCTTTTTTTTCTTGTTCTTCTATAAGAAAGAAAACCAGTGTTTACATAATAAATTAATATACTAAATGTTTTTGTACAAAATACAATAAAGTATTATGATGAGACATTCATTTTTTTTAACTAACATTGTTCAGTCAACAAAAGAGAAGAGAGAATCGCATGAAAACCATATTCGGCCGACATCATGAAAAAAGGAATTTCCATAGTGCGAGACGTCAAAACTACCATTAGGTTCATGCTCGATCATCGTAAAAAAATCAATTCGTTGAACTAATGATAACCAAAAGAAGTGAACAATCATCTTTTGAAATTTTATTACACTCTTCGACATTGATTGTCAATTCGTTGTGTGGGTGTGGATGAGGTTAGAATAGAAATAAAAGGCTAACATCAACACCCACTTCGTATTCTATATTCATTAAAGAAAGTCATCGAAAATCTTTCCTGTTTGATAAGACAAATTAATACTACACATTTTGGCTTAAAGTGGTTCTCCTCTCTCGCAACATATGTTTGATCGTATGGTTTTTATTTTATATTAATAAATTCGTTCTCTATAATCTTTTGAAACAATATGAAGAACAATTTTATCATGATATAGAAATGAATAAAAAGACAATGCCTTCTTTTATTTTTAAAGAATGTTAAATATCTCTTTTAATTCAATCATTAATTGCCAATCAGATTTTTGCATATCACCACGAAAATGATCTTTAACAACATCAAAAGATTCTTGAGAAATTTTGCTCATCAATAGATCAGTTTCATCAAAATCTCGTCCAAATATTTTTGGTGCTTCATTACCAACTGGTTCAATTGTGATGGAAACTTCAGAATTTTTTCTTGCTATATCCAATGGTTTATGATTTAATTCAATACTAACAACTCGACCAAGTTCAATAAATTCTTTTGATGGAACACATATTGGTGTACCTAATTTAACAAAACCATCTTCAACAATAACACCACATATAATTTTACCACGTTTATTAAACATAAATTCTGGTAGAACTCTTAATTTACATGGAAATACGGCTAGATGTCGAGCTTTTTCTTGATCTTCTTTTTTATAACCTTCACGATGTACCAAAAACATATCAAATAAATGATACATGATATCCGCTTGGAAGATTTTAACACCAACACTATCTGCATGATCTTGAGCATCTCTTTCAATTTTCACATCAAATGCTAAGACAACTGCCCATTGTGGTTTTCTGTCAAGTTGACTTGATGCACGAACAATATCTTTTCGATGAACAGGTCCAATATTAATTCCAGCATATGGAATATTTGATGTTTCTAAGAATTCAAGTAAGGCTTCTAATGAACCTAATGTTGATGCTTGAACATAAACACCAGTTTCTTGTAGTTTAATTGAACTAAGAGCTGTTTTAAGAATATTTTGAATTTCATTTTTAAAATAATCAACTTCATCTTCTTTTCGACCAACAAATAAGGGTAAACCAGCCATAGATTTTTCTAAATTTTTAGCAGCAATCTTTATACCACAAGCAGCTTTGATTGTTTTATAATTTTGATATTGATTGCGAACACGTGATTCTCTATTTGATTCTGGCATAAGAAGACCACGAACTTGTGTTACAATTGGACCTTCTTGACCAGCAACAATAATTGTATCACCAACGTGTAAATGTCCATT